CACCCTGTCCACCCCTCGCTCATTGTCGGGCGCGACCTACTTACACGCCAATGCCGGTGGGTAACCTCGCACTTTCTAACCAATCACCTTCGGGTCTACATAAGCTAATGACGGCTAATTGTGGCCGCTCGAATAATTGGGGCTAGACATCACTCCGGAACCCGCCCCACTAGAGAGCGGCCGCAGGCAGCGTTGTCGGCGCCGTTGACGACCCGGCGCTATCATGTTAGGACGCCTGCTAATGCGAGTGTTTAAATCACTTTTACCTATTCTTAAATCTCTCTGTATAGAATACACTCTTTCTACCCTTCTAGCCTCCCCAAGAATTCTCTCTTCTCTTAAGGGACTGTTTCTGGAAGAACGCAGCCTTGAGGTTTAACCTGATTAGTCTTAACATTCCTCGATAAAACTGCTAAAAGTAAGGGCCGGAAATGCAATTCCTTTCTAGAAGGAAAGGCTGAAGTGTTGCTTTTTTAGTCCCTCTCTGAAAATGAAACTGAGAGGTTGCTTTTCAAGTAAACTGGCAATATAGTACTTTTGGACTGTGTAAAGCTAGTATATAATTAAGTAGCGTATGCAATCAATTTTCTTACATAGTCAACTTCGCATTTCTCCAGTTCCTCCTTAAGGTTGCCACAGAAGTCATAGGATTCAGGATCGCGTAGAGCCAGATCGACCGCCATTCGTTGCATGTAGGCAAGAATCAGAACCTCAAGCAGTTCATTTTTGTCGTCAGTGGGTGCGTGATTACAAAGGAACTATAAAAAATGAAAAAAGTGAGGTCCTTTCAGGTAGGATAATTGCAGTTTTGAGTCAAGTGGCTCATTTCGGTCAGTCGTGTTTCAGCTCGCTCTAAGAGCTGATGCGTGTGAGATTGGGGATTTCGAGATTTAAAACTAGACTATATGATTGCTACTAAGGGGATGAATGTTCAACGATGGATACCACCCGACCAATTCTAACTAAGGGGTGACTATCGAGTCCCGCCAGTTGTCTTACGACGAACTGTACTTTAAGTAGATAGGTGAGACTTATTATCGATCGATTATGTTCATCGCTAATATCAGTACTCCGAAACTAAGCCGGCAAGACCACTAGCCCGTAACTTAATAGCTAAAGCGTCGTACTTCTAACCACCCGGCCGTTGGTTCGAGTCCCGGGAGGTGCATCACTTGGTGTTAAGTATGGCTGGCTGATGATGGATAATAAGCCAAAAATGGCCATTTGAGTTTCCCTTGTCGTCAATGTTAATATGGCTGAAACTGTCGAAAATGTCTCTAGGGGCGCAGACGCTGTGGCTGCTGTTCGGTTTGACTGTAACTAACAGAACCGTAACTGCTCTGCGCATAAACTTTATTAAAGCTGCTTGCCACAGACAAAACGCAAGTGATAAATGTGGCATCCATCATCTAATTTTGGCCTTAGGGGTACGCAGGGTACACCGAGAAGAGATAAAAATCAGAAGTACTCGACGTAAGTTGGGAGTGCAAAAGAATGACGTCCTATCCTTTGTCATTATTCACTGCTAGGGCGTGACCATTTACTGACATACAAAAGAGGACTCTGACTGATAGTAGGTTAGACTAAGGTCTGAGAGGTTGAGGGAAAGTCAGAAAACTGACAAACAATATGCTGTCTGCCTGTGACGTGTCACTTTCACATTGCCATATAGTCTGATTCGTGTTCAGGCGAATGATATGCATTTTCTCACTGCCTAAAACTCTTTGATTTCCCGCTTGTTTTTCCCGTTGCCTCTTCTGGCGAACGCCTTTACGTATCTTGGACCTAGATTGTTACGTTGATTATCGTGAAGGCTACCAGCATTTGAATAACGTCCCACCTTGAGTCTAATAAGTGCCTTCCTCTGTGCTGTTCGAGCCGTTAGCGGTCCTTCGCAAGTCGGTTTCTGAGACGATTATAAAGATTTGACTGTTCCAATCACCGCCGCAATTGTACGGGGACAAGGTCTTCGCAGAGAGAAGACCACTACACTTATCAACATTTTGGGGACCGGTAAACTATGACTCACGCAGCTTGCAGCTCACCGGGGTGCCATTGCTCGAGAGAAACTTGGTAACCGGAGAGCTAAGATGATTCTTATGCGAGATAACATAAGTCTTGTCTGTGTCTGTCACTAATGATGAGTTGGAGTAAGAACCTTAACCGCCAGGTCAATGGAACTGAGATTCCAACGGTCACATTTTCATCTTAATTTACACCAACTGTTGGGCATCATCAGCAGAGCGAATTTCCAATCTGGGCATGTCAGTTAGGAAGACAGCTTTCTTTCAATCAAGTCTTGGAATAAGCTCAACCCACATGAATCTGAGCCTGCGGTGGTTTGACGAAGCCTGTAGGCAATTGCTCGCTAGTCTTTGTGCACCTTAATTTGTATTTAGTTATTCTCATTTACACTATCAGTCATATTGGAGGTATAATCGAACCCTTTGTTTTCCAAGCTTACTCGATTCTAGGAAGGACAAAAGACTCCATGGAAAAGGTAAGTACGCTAACGTGTACATCGACCTTAACATCGTTCGAATTAATTATCTGTTGACATATGATGAAGTAAATTCCGAATTAATAATAACGCTGCCAAATCATACCCATGGGAGGTGGTTTTCTCCAGAGTCTTCGGACCGTAGAAGTACCTGTCGTCGGACAGACTGACTCTTGGATGGAATATAACCGTAATCCCATTTCTCCTCCAGCGTAAACACCAAGAAGAAGGCTTTATTTTCGCCAAAGGCTGGCAGGCGACCGCGACCATCAACGCCTGTGCGACCAAACGGATTTAATGGAGGAGACTGCGGTAGCCCGGCCGGTTCCTCAGGCATCCCGCCTATCCACTGGAGGAAACTCTCATCTGCGGAGTCCGGAACGGCTGGTTGATAGGAGTAATGCTCCAACTATGTGGCGGAAGGAGCAATATAATAATTCACCAGGTCATGATTTGAACTCAGAGACGCATATGCCAACAGCGTCAGTATACCTTGGATTGCCCAAAACCTTTTTCCAAAAAGTTTGATAAGTAGTGATCAGGTGATTAATGTTTATTGCTGCTGATTATACAGACAGAGAAGGGGAAGTAATGTGTGCGAGTGTAGCTATTTCGTTCTCCGGTATGGAGGCTGCATAAAGAGAGACAGTAGCCCTCTTGCGGACAGCGGATAGCCGATATGTGAATTTGAAACATATTTGTACATATTGTGTTTTACCTTAACTTTTATAGGGAAATTCCAAAAATACCCGCATTTAATTTAATTCAGTAGCAATTTCCACTTAAATATATCAGTCGAAGTTACGACGCGATTAAACACGTTAAATTCAGTTCAGCTAAGTTTTATTAAAGGAATGGTAGATAAACGTCCTTGAGCTCCCTAGTGGTAAAGCAATGGCTAAGGAAGATAGCGATACAAAAGATAAATTTAAAAACGTCAACTACATGCTTACGGACCAAAAGTGAGCATTTAATGCATAATCGAAATTGTTTGTTATACATGGCTACTCACTTAACGCGAGTAGAATAATTGATAGTAATTGTCTGGTCACATAGATAGGTGTGGCGCTGGCAATTAATATTTTTAATGCATGTGCAGTTTGCTCTTTAATATATTTACACAGGTGGAGCGAAGGACATTTTCGGGAAGAGCGTTCCACGCTGCAACCACTTTGGTACGGAAGAAAAATTTGCGTTCATCAAACGCTCCATTTTAATGGAGCTTTTAAGGGCTTCTGTCATTTACTCCAAATATAATGACTGAACCCTTGCTTTGCTGAGGCGTAATTTAGGGAACGACCACGCAACGTGGGCGTTTTAGCCGCAGTGAAAAATAACCGGAAACATAGCACATATTTAGGCCATTCACTGTATGTAATATTGGTATGAAATTACCCCGTAGTTGCCTGTAGGATAAACATACAAAATTGCGGGTTGGCAGCCTGTTTTCGTAGGGCAGTGTTCCCAGTCCTGTGATAATGTTTGACTCCCGCCTCTGGATCTTTTCTAAGACGGCACGTTCTTTGGCATTCCAAAGTCTCCATGCCCGTATCGTGATTTTTGCAAAAGTTGTCTTTTTCAAACCCCACAAAAGTTGGCCTAATCAGTTGCTATAAAGATGTGACCGATTTCGCCGCCTCAGTGCAGTTCAGCGTTAGTTTGAGTGATAAAGTAGTCGACACACCCAAGTCCTTCTGATTGTCAACTTGATGCGGCAGTGTATCGTTTGAGAAGTAAGCCTTCGGTCTAGAGTCTACAACTGCCGATTTGAAGAAAGTTGCATTTACTAACATTGAGGGAGATAAGCCTATTCGTTGACCAGTCCTCCAGCCTGTTCAAGTTCGCCTGCAGATGGTGTTCATCTGCCACATTTTGAACAACATTTCACAACTTAATGCATTCAGTCGAGAGAAATCACAATCTAGGGTCCTAACTCAGTTGTTTATTGAAAATAAGAAAATGCGATCGCTGGGACAACACTTTTATTCGCCTGAAGTTTTGACATCCGTCGCGGATTCTTCATCAGAGACATAAGCAGAAAGCCGCAGTAGAAACAGTTGTTTATCAAAAAGAAGCACGGAATACCCTGCGGGTGGACAAAGTTATGCAACTTATCTACAGAAGAGCAGAAGTGCATAGGTGAAAGGAGTCTACACGAATAAGGACAAAAGAATATCCTGCAGAAAAGTGTTATACCCCTGCGCAACTTACGTCCCAGGGAATTGTTTTCTTCAGTCTTTCGGATATGAATTCGTCAGATGGGTTGAGGAAGAAGGCGATTTTAAGTGCGACTCCCTTGAAGACACAACCTCGTTTATCCATTATGACAGGTCCTAAAAGTTTGGATTAGTGTGGATGAAGTGTGATATATTGTTAGGGAGATAAAATTAGTCAAATTGTCAGAATTAAACCAGCACGCAGCACGCATAATCAATTTAAACAAAAGGGCAAGGACATAATAATTAGGTCCACTGAGGAAATGGAAGACTCGGACTCCTTAAAAACGGCGTTGCTGTTTATAGGAGTTTTTATCGGTAAATGGCCGCGGAATTAAGCGACTCTGGTGAAGGTATTGAGAAATCTCGTATTTCTACTAGTTGTTCGTAGTGTACTCAAAACAGGTACCGGAACAGGTTGCACAATTGGAAAGATGCAAAAGAAAAGCACATAAACCAGTGTAAAAGAAGGCAATCCGAGTTAATTAGTTATCGATAGCCGTATTTGGTAAAATATTATGTAGTGGGGAAACAGGACCCTATCCTTACCTTCGAGCCTTGCCCTAACACTAAACCTTTCCCCTACCATCTTGAAGCGTACTCTAGCATTCATGCCTACTTAAATAGATAAGGTATTCACGATCTAATAGCAAAAACAGAAGCCTATATATTAAGTGTTCGTCCAATGATGTACGTATCAAGCGGCCCACCTTCAACCAAGGTACTTTTTACACTTTTCGGTAAGCTTTTCTTGTGAGGCCGACTGAAAATAAAGTCTTTCCGCCCAAATGTCTTACGGAATTCGTGATAAAAGGTTTGATGCTTGATTAAGGAACAGGTAATGCATATTTAATGCGCGGTAAGTGCACAGTAGAAAATAAACTAAATGGACTTGTAATTGTTTTACTTAAATAAAATTGTAGATAAATAGGACGTCTGCAGACTCAAAAGCTATCATAGAAACCCTATTGGTTAACAAAATAAACATCTACACCAAGAAAACTATTAAAACAACCCCTTTGACAATTCGGCAACCTACTGGTTAATAAACAAGGCCTATTTTCATTAGACGGCCTCGTGAGGAAGTC